TTTAGCTATCTATTCGCACGCATACACACATAATATAAGAAATAAAATGATTTATAGGACTAGATCTTGATTTCATTTCAATATTCCACCATATAACAAATAAATCATTTGAGTAGAACCTTTACTAAATTTTTTTCAAATCATTGTATCTTAGGAAAATAAAAAAAAGTCGTTATTAAGCAATTCATAAAAATATTTAGGTTTTTAATANGCGCATAACGAATGCATAACTTAATCTTACATATGATACGATCAGGCCACAATCAGGGGCCACAGGAGAAAGACGATCGACAAACTCTTATAGGTACTTACATGATGTTATGGTATTGGGGATCGAAGGAGAAGGCGAACGAGTGACGAGATCTGTTGTCTTTCCGTTTGTCGTTTGAATATATACTATACACGTCTAGGTACATCATAAAACTGTAGTATAAATGTATACGAAGTAACTACTGTAAGTATACTGTTACAGTTGCGCAACGGATGACGAGAGGGGCTAATTGTTTACTGGTAATTTTTCGGTGCTCCTGAAAAAATGTTCGCTCTAGTCGTCGTTTTCGTGGTTTTGAGGTAGACGCGAGCGTAAACTTAGAAGCTCGGAATGAAAGAAATCTTTTTTTTTCGTGCATGGGACGCACGCGCGCTCGAAAGCTTATACATGTGATTATTATATCATTAATGAGGAAAAGAGAGGAAGAGTAGGAGAGAGAGAGAGAGAGAGAGAAAGAAAAAGTTTTTTTGTTGACTTACCCTCGTCGGGCGCGAGGCTCGAGCTAGAAATAGTGACGAGCGCCACGAAGAGCAGGAACGCGGCGATTGAATCTCAAAATAATAAGAATATACTGTAAAAAATAAGTCAGTGGCACACTTATCAAGGAAATCAGATAAAGTTAAAAACGAACATAATTAATAGATTCAAGATACTTAACTATAAAAAAGTTGCAGAGTATTAGAATTATTTGTTTAGTATGAAAAGTTTCACATTGCACAAAACAAGAAAAAAATTAAAACAAATACAGAAAATGCTTTTATTGCTTACTTTGGCAGTTAAATGCTATGAAATAATAACAATTTTGGCTTAATAAAATTAAGAAAAGTATGCAATATGTAAATGCAGAATGGAGAGAAATAATTTTTGTTACATTGTCTACATACTACAGACAAATTTTCTTTCTAACAGGATGTACAAACCTTATAATAAAATCATTTGAAATAACTGTTTTAAAAAATTTCTGACTCTTGAGATGTATTCAGCAATTTAAAGAAAAAAATAAAAAAATAAAATAAAAAGAAAGAGAATACCAGATGATACAAATTTTAGTCAAAACAATACAACCACTTGTTAAAATACACTTTTAAAATTCTAGTTCATAAATACATGAAATATATTAATATACAAAAGTAGAGATTTTCAAATTCATTTTTCTGATAAACAATATCAAGAAAATTATATCTAAAAAATGTTGACATTCGTTATATAAAATAAAAACCTTTCTATGCTTTTAACCAGTATCAGAAAGATTTAATTGATATCGGTGCAATATTCAAAAAAACCAGGTGTGGGTTGCGGGACCCACGACAGATGTGAAACATTAAGGAATATGTTATTAACCTCGGTAGTATTTGATTGTCTATGATGAAAATAGTAGTTTTCGTCAGATAAGTACCATCGTCTCCAGGGCTATTTTGGGGCCCATGGGACCTGTGAAACAGGGTCAGAGAGCCGTAAGGCAGCCACGGAGTAATAGCTCTTATGTGTCGAATCCTATTTTTCCTACCAAGTGTACACCAGCCTCTCAAAAACGCATGAGGTAGGAAAAGTATTAATTTTTTTGACTCTAAACAGTTTTCATTTCATATTTTTATATTAAAAAGACAGTTTATTTAGAAATATGTATTTTTATCAGTGAATATTATAGATAAGAAAAAAGCAAATTATGTTTATTATTTTTTTTGTTCATTAACAAATAAACAACGAGAACGAGAAAGAACAATAATAGACGGTGAAGAGTATCTACACTACCGACCTACACAAAGGTACATACATTAGCTTAACAAACGTTCGTGTGTATGACTTTCTCTGTCTCTCTGTCTCTTTTTGGATTCAGATACCTGTTTACTGTGCATAGTTGCGTCTGTGAGCGAATTCAGTTTGGTTGGCTCTTTACTACAGACAGGTTAAGATGGAGTTTGAATAAACACAATTGGAAGAACCCGAAAAAATTTTGGCTTACGGTCAAATATTGATATTTTACAATAATCATGTTCACAGAGAAGAAATTTTTTTTAAATGATAAAAAAAATGATACAACTCTCATATTAATTCATCATATTCTACAAGCACAAAATATTTAAAAAAGCAATTAAAAAGGCCTGCCTGTATGAGTACAATAGAGGAAGAGACAGAGAGAGAAAGAGAGAGAAAGAGAACGAGCACGAGAGCAGACAATCAATGGCTCTCTCTATCTCACTTACTTTTAAAGGTACTACCAAAATGCCTTTTTTATTTTTTTTCTCATTACTTTACGCTTGTCAAAACAAAATTTAAAGTGCTTATTGATCGAAAATTTTTTACCCTACACGCTGGTATTTTTATTTTTTCTGTATATCAAACCGTTAAAAAATATAAGCAAAACGAACTTTATAACACAATTTTACACAATTTTTACAAAAAAATGCCCAATGATAAATCGATTTTCTAATACAGAAGTTCCTTGGTAGGTGTCAATAAATAATAAGAACAAAGATTGGATTTGCGTGCTGCATAGCATAATCGATAAGGTCCACGACTACCAATCCTAAGGATGTAGTTTGATTCTTGGAGTCAGTAAAATTTGAAAATTTTATTCACACATGTCTAATGTATNCATGCCTTGAAATTTTGAAAAATTGTTTTTCAATTAAAAAAAAAAATTATTTTTTAATTTAAAACCTTTTGCCTTCTACCTCAAAGCCTCTGTAAAAAATGATAATTTATTCACAGAGGGTTGATACGTAAAGTGTAAGTTGAAATCTACTTGTATACTATATTTTTCTTTTTTTTTATTACAGTGCTTTACGTCCTGCTCCTATACGGGGCACTACTCTGGGCACATAGCACTTGGGAAAAGGAAGGAAAGAGGGATGAGAGGCCTCCCATTTTTTAGAAAGGGGTAGGGGGAATCACATGTGAAAATTCACAGAGGTACATGCTAGAAAAAGACGCACTGCCCGAGAATCGAACCACAGTCTTCCACGTGCCAACTCACGACCTAGCCAACTGAGCCACCATGCGCTCTATTATTACATAGTTATTGTGATAACTAGCATTTAATTCAGCCTCTTAACCCCCCATGACATCCTTAAGATTTTATACAGCTCTGCTTGCAATTGTGTTTGTAAAAATTTATCACTGTATAAATTACTTAGAATAGAAAAAAAGGTAATTAAATGTTATACTCTGTTAATCAATAGTCGTTTTGTAAATTTTAAAAAAAGGGTACACAAATTTTTAATAAAGGGTAGAAGTCATAGATTTATGAATTTACCAGTTCATGTTGTAGACAAGCAAAAAATTATTTAGAAAGTAAAAAAATTGGATAAATTTATTAATACTGAGACACTTCTTTAACAGTTTGATTTGAATTAATTAAACTTTTTACAAAAACAAACAAATATAACATTTTCAACAACAGTATAAAAATTGAAAGAATAACATTGAGTAAAAAAATAATAACTGTAGAAAGATTAAATGTCATATTTTTAAAGGACTAGGAGCGTTTTTTTATTAATATTGAAAGAAAATAAGGTGCTTACAGTTCAAGGGACTTAAATACACGTGAACAAATTTTGCTGTAGTCTCCCAAAAAAGCTTTAGAAATAGTTTATAATACATACGGAGACATTAACGATGATAATAACCTTTAAAAACAAACAAGTTTTTTTGGAGATGATTTTCGATACATTTTTTTTTGTTTATTTAAAAGTATCAGAAGTTAAATAATATCCAAATTAATACAGTTTTTACTTGTATAAAAATTTCTACTCTATCGTTATCATTCAAAATAGATAAATTAAATGACAATTTACGTACAGATAACGCCAAGTTGCCAAAATGATTATAAAAAATAGGAAACGGAAATGCAAAGTTTTTTGTCTTTCCGAGAAAACAGTTGACAGATGATGTATGTTTTAAAATATTTAGTGAAAAGTCAGATTCGAAATTTGATAATATAATTTTAACAACACATAATAACTGTATATATTTCTCTAATAATACAATTTGAAGTTTTTCTAAAGGAGAAGCCATCACTTATTGTTGTTTAAAAATAGCCACTCATGAAAATGTTACTAAATGTTATAACTTTCAAACAAATTTCGCGGAAAAAGTTTACAATAATATTCGTAAATGTCTTTCATCTCATAAATGTAATACAAAAGTCAAAGCAGTAATGATAATCATCAGAAGTATAAGAACAGTAAATAGACTTTGTAATAGAATAAATGAGAAAAAACTAAATTATTTCAATATAATACTGAAATAAAAATAACTGTTAAAAAAGTAAGGGATAAATAATCATCCTATGCATGATAACCTTATGCACAAGATTATCAACATCTTTACTATTTTTTCATGTCAAATCCAATTTCAGCTTGTTTTATTATTTTCTATAACAATTTATACATTACAATGACAAAGTTCTTACATAATCGGTTTGTACTTAAAAAAACTTTTATTTTCTCATGAAAAATTTTAAAAATTTTACTTTGATTGTATGATTTTTGTGATGATCCTAAAGATGAATTGTCCCCTTATTCTATGTCCGTAAGTTTTTAAAATAATCCTTAATATTTATCATTAACAGTCAATTGCCAATTATTTGTTGTAATTGAATATAATTAATGATAAGGTATAATTGGTACAAATTCCTCATTTGTTAACAATCTTATTTTACAATTGTCTTTAATATTCACATTTGTCGTAACATTCGTAAACAATCATAACAACAAGCAATTAAAAATGTGTAAGCTTCAGAATATCACAATTTGTTTTTCACCAATCATTTTGAGATTTAATCTTTCCACTATGTTTTTTTTGTCTTGCTCTTGAATTTTGAAACCATACTTGAGTTACCCTCTTACTCAATCCTGTAACATGAGCTATTCTTTCTAAATCTTGTCCATCAGGGTTGCTGTCTAGTTGAAAGTTTGCTTGTAAAACAGACAACTGTTCTTCAGTAAAAGTTGTCCGTACCCGTTTTGTTTTGTTTCCTTTGCACCCGTGTTCTGAGTCACAGTCTTCTGAGGATGATGTATTGTTTCCCTCTACAACATCTAAGTAGTGTGCCTTACACAGTAATTTCGCATCAATTATAGCGAATTGTTCACCAGTTGATAATTGACGAGAGCAAGCATCACACGCAAAACATGCCAAGTGATAAATTCTTTCTCTTGCACGTCGTACCCAGTCTCCTGAACCAATATGTCTGCCACATTTTGCACATTTGCTCCCAAAAGTTCTGAAACGAAGATAATATTGCATAAAATTTTTCTCGGCATCATAAAGTTCTTTCCCAATAAAAAAGTTTTTTTACAAAATTAAACAAATTAAATCTTAGTATACCTTTATGCATTACTTTTACTTTGAGTTGTAGTAATACATCGGACTATTATAGAAGCACAACAAGTTATAAAACAACATTAAAATAATCGTTTTTAGAAAATGAGCTTCAGGTAACTTTTCCTCTATTATCTGTCAATTATCAGTTTAAAACTACAGAAATAGTGATACATTGCACAAGCCTGCCATATTTTGTATATCCTTTTTATTAGTAAACATGTAAGTGTCGAATAAATAAATATTTGCTATTTTTCCACAGCATTTGCAAGGAAAACAGAAAAATTTTGTACTAATAAATAATAAAAAAAATTTTTTTACAATGAAATTCATTCAATTTGTTAGACATCGTATACGATTTAAAAATCATTATTTAGTAATACAAGTATAAAGATTTGGGTCGTACTTAAACACTTACCGTCACTTATAATATTCTAATCAAGAGTTATTTTGTTGCCTAAGGTATAAAGTGCTGTGAATAAAAAATAGTATAAAAGTATACGGTTACGCATGTACAGCTTAGTACTGTCATGTTTCTGATTCTTTCTGTTCATATTTTATAGTCATAAAGAAAATCGTTTTTTACCTGTAACAAATGATAGAGGGGTTGTATGTACATGGAGAGCACAGAGCCTGAGCCTGTAGAGTATACGTATAAGAGTTCGTCCTCAGTCACACACACCCACACACACACACACACACACATACACACACTGTCTTCAATTTCAAGCATAAAGTTTAGTTGGTTTTTATTTTATAATTACTCAAAGTTCTCTGTTTTTCGGGTTCATGATGCATTTTATCAACTTTTAATGTTCACTAGTTAAAGTGGTTTTTACGACTCCCGAGTCAAAGGTGCGACTATCAAGTTGATATTTATTAATGCTGCTTAAATTTTAAATAAATATTTGTAAATATTGTTCATTAAGTCAAATTAAGTACTGATTCAAAATTTTTTATCGTGATGTTTGATATAAAAGTTCGTAGGAATGATTGTGTAAAATTTGCGCTTAACTTCAAAATACCAGCAGTAACTACTTGCCTATGCTGTCAACATAGAAAACAAAAGTATATGCCTGTATTTGTTTTAATATCTTTTGATAAAGTCCGTGAACATATATATTTCAAAATGGCAGTATATTTAGCATTAAGTAAGCTTTATTATGTCAGTTTTTTACTTAATTATGTTCAGTAAATAAATAGCTAAGCTACAACTTTCAGTAAGAGAATGCTTATTTGTCATTAGAGTACATGTTTAGAATTTTTCATTTATTGTTATCTTGCATTTATATTCGTCAGCCTACTCTAATATTCTTAGAGGTTGTGTATTGTAACTTAATAAAGGATTCCTCAAGGTCTTATGTTATTCTGTTCATAATCATTTCATGAAAGAACCACCTTAAGGAGGTTGGATACGATCTTTCAGAAGAGAGGTGAAGTGGGGTCAAGGGACTTGGAAGCTCATATCATTACTGACAGAATATAATACAGCTTATTCCTATGGCATACATGCATCCGTCTTATAAACCTAGCTAAAGTTCTTACTTGTATTTTAAAAAACTGTGATTTTCTCTCCAATAAGTATAGATGCTGATAAAAATCAGAGGATTATATGAATTAACAGTATTTAAACAATCAAAATATATTTTTTGTCGATTTTTTAATTAATACTAAGGTATGTTATTTGCAGGTCACAACATAACGTGTTAAATTGCTTATTTTTTAATTTGAATAATCCTAATAACTACATGGCTGAGATCGCCAAAAAAAGTACGTTTGTTTCTTATAACATATAGAATGTAATTTTTGAGCAAGTGAGAGCCTTTTATAGCTTAATGGCAAGAAAAAGCCTTTTCAAAATAAATTTTTTTTTACTTGATTTTAAGCTGGTCATACATTTTACATAGATATACAAATCGCCTTAAACATGTTATGTATATTATTGACCCGCTGCGCTGTGAATGTATAGCGAGTCTTCAATTTTAAGGAAACAATTATTGTAAAGCAAATAATATTTTTAATGTTTTAGCGGGTTAAATAGCGGTTATTAAATAATCTCTAAATTCACTTGCTCTTCGAATGAAATTCTCTCAATAAACGAGCGAATTTTCTCTCAAAGCGAGTGAATTTTGAGAGTAGCAGTATTTGTATATAGATAATAGTAAGTGGAGCTAAGAACACAATAGGTGTTGGCGAATTATTAGTATTGTTAAATGTGTGCAAACTTGTAAAGGTAGTCCTTATTAAAAGTTCTTACAAAATCTGTTGACTACGATTTACAGTTGATCAAACGTGAACAGCTACAGTATAATTACGAAAAAATTAAGAGATAAGATAAAAAGTTTAAAGTCTCAAGTCAAAGTAAGTATGCGTATCAAGTGAAAGGTTCTTTTATTACATTAAATAGCATATGAAAAGTTCACGATCGCTCACCAAGTGAGAACCAAGTAATTGTTGTCGTCAGTTGTAACATATTGTAAAGCAAAGCGGCGCCCGCCACTAGTACTTTGACCGACTATGAGTAATTTGTTACGCCATCAAATGCATAGCATTTGCTTGAACCTGTAAAGTGAAGTACCAGTGACAAAATATGATAGAGTGCTAGAGATCAGTTTTATACGATCCATTTATCAGTTAGTTACCTTTTATCAGTTTTTCTTTTCTTTATAACTGAATTTAGTGACATAATGATTGAAAATATCATTTTTTTCTTACTGTAATGTAGATTTTTATTTATTTAACAAGAATAAGCCCTATGACGATCCAGCAAATGGAGTAACTGAAGGTAAACGATATAGTCCTTTTTTCCATTGTATGAGTTGGTTAATACATAACGCATTTAATAATCTTTTCTAAAACTTGATGGTAAAAAATATTCTCTCTTACAAAATCTCATTATTACAGTTATTACATTTTGCAGGTGGAAATTCCCTACTACCCCACACGTACCAGAAATTGCTTCATGTACTGGGTGAATCGCGTGAGACAAATCCTTCAAGGATCAGTACAGATAAATGTACATCTGATTGCGACGTGTACGCTTACAATAAAAAATATTATAATTTACACATCTCATCAAGTGTTTCAAATCAGTCATCTACGTCTAACGCGTCTTCAATGACATATTCAACCTTTAACAACGATCATGAACATACGCTGGGTAACTTGGGTTTAAATAAAGCAACTGTAAATATTTTCCAGCTATTTCAGACCACACCCTTGTCAATAAGCTTTGAATTATAGGCTGAATACTCTATCAGTTATAATTATTATGTATTATTATTAATGTAGACAGTATATCCAATGGCAAGAAAAAAGTAGAAAAAGTAAACAAAACTTATTTAATTGGAAAATTGTTATGGCTAAGAAATCTAAAAATAGTGGTACAGATGGAATCTCAGCATCAGGTACTTTAATTACAGCAGCAAACATGAGTATTGGATGTATAAAATGGCGTTTCAAGTATACAGAAAACATCACAATGTCACAACGAGAAGCATTGTTTAAAAATTTTTGGGGTTTGGCAGATCATACTACAATGGGAATGCTCAGCCCAAATGATGACAAAGAAAAATCAACCTCATACAGCAACTACTGTCACAGAATCTGCAAGTATAGACGATACCCATATATCTCGTAATTTTTTTTTTTAAATACACTATTGAAAACTATTCAAGTGTGTCGTGCTTTGTTCTGTGGGACTTTTGTTGTGTTCCATTACACTAATCAAGCAAGTTTAAATACAGGCTTCATTTATGGAAGCTTTTACTGAATTTTATTAATTATAATACTAGTATAACAATCTTTATTTTACTTCATCATTTTTTCCAATATTAAGATTGATTTCTTTTTTTTTTTTTTAATCGTTCACGGCTAACATCGCTAGCACCTTAATTTCTTTCCTTTTTTCGCAACTTTGCAATACATGTGCATAAAATTTTATGAAGGGTTTAAGGAAAAGTGGTTAGAAACGATTAAGACGAAGCAGAATTCATCTGTTGGTGAATTAATTAAGAGTGAAGAAAATACGTATTGACACAATCGTCATTTTGACAAGCTGAAAAAAGATCAGTGCAATACATGCGCGTCGTATACTTACCTGCCTGACGANATATATATACATGATGATATGCTTGGTGGCATTTTCCGGGAACAGCGTGTAGAACATTTTGTTCTGAAGTGAACCCGGTTGGAATTCACTTTTTAGGGCAAATAGCTTTTAAATGAGAGGCAATTAAAAATACGTTCCAAACTACCCCTAAATGGGATTGAAAGGGTATGGCGCGCCCGCATGAGCTCGAGACGTTGCCACATTGTCATTGAGCTAATTTGGTAAGCAGTGAGAATTGCATACATGGGTATATTCGTGTGCGCACGCACGAGCGTCAGCTGTACTATACTGCTGGTAATTTGAAGGTTGGATGTTACAAAATAAATATTGTCTGCTCCTTATGCTGTCATGGTTTGAAGCCAGGCATGCATCAGATGTAATTGGATGAATATTTCAAGGATGACATGTCAAATCATCTAACAACAAGAGTGTAATGGGATAAATGTATCACCTACTAAAACTCATAACAGTTAATATAAAATTACATTGAAAATGTTATAACGATAATATTTTAAATGTGATAGTTTCAATTATGTGTTAGTGTTCCTTTTTAGATGAATAAACTCATATCTTATACATTTTCTCACAAACAGAAGTTTTATGAGATGAGCAAGTTGAGACTAACACAAATTTTAAGATAATTAGTAAAAGTAAACACACATCGTAATGTACAATTGTACTTATACATATTGATATTTTTTTGTCCACGCGCTTTCTATTTTACTCACTCTCATATTTCAAAACGCCGAGCGTAATCTCTGCGTTCCGTGGGCAAGGACGGACTTTTATAG